ACCAGAGCGAAGCACAATGGAAAGAAGATGATCTAGGCGAACGTTGTGTTCTTGTTTGCCTGATGAGTCATAGGGCGCCCAATTATTCATAGATAATAGCTGAAGAAAACGTAAAGAAAAAAAAACCTATATATGTATATATATATATATATATTGTGTGTATTGATACAATTGAATATTAGAAATCTGTAAGTGTGAGAAAGACTATTAAAGAATTATTCTCTTTATGAGCGAAAGAAGAATAATAATAATGTACCACGTCCACGGTCCGGCTCTGAAAATTATCATGTATAAAATGGGCTACGGACTAGGTGTATTCTCCTAATTCTTCCTACAAATATGACCAATTTGCTAAAACAGAGTCCAACAACCTCTATGATACAAAAGGAGACTGCGACCACAAAAAAAGCCACACCATCTTGATCGTCATACCTTCGAATAATAATAATGATCATTTTTATTTCTTGAACCGCATTACAGTGCTTCTTTCATCTCTTAAGGAAGCTTAGGATCATAAGTTCTCAAAAGTTACATAATTAAGTACAAGTAGCCTCACAAGTAGTAATGACCATAATATATTAATAAGCCAGCAAATCTATTAAATCCATGGAAGGAAGTGACCCGAAGACCATAGCTTTAGAACGGAAAGTTGTATTGAACTGATTGATAAAAATATGTTGAGTTAACTGACATAAAAGAAGATTAAATATTTATATATTTAGACAAAATAACGAAGTAACGTGGTGACAATGATAATAAGAAAGTATATGGATATTTATTTTATAGGGAATCCTATTTCTTGTACATAATCACTGTTAAGCATGGTGTAAGGAAATTTTGTCATATTTTTTGAACAGTTTTAGTGACCCCAAGTCGCAAAAGATTACGAACTGAACGATAAGATGAGTAGGCCTTGTTATTCAATTAAACTTCACTCAAGCTTGCTTCCAAAAGTTATTATCATCCTGAGTGGAGCGTAGCTTTGATTTAGTTTAGGTCTCATCAGCACTCGCAATGGACGTCGATATCAGATAGTTCAGCAAAGAACGTCAAATTGATATCGTTGGCCAACACTGCCAAGTGCCATTTTGTCATAGTGGATTTCGAAGCAAGGAAAACCTACCCAATAAGTGATTTAGTCACCCTACTTCACTAAAGGCGATGCATGAACTAAATGAGTGAATATTAATAGCATCGTGAAGCCTACTGATCTCAATGTGCGAGAATTTATTAGTCCATCATCAGTTTGAGCGTCCTGGGGTAATTAAATTTCGAACTCAAAATCTAAGGATTAACTCGGAAGCCTACTAAACTCGAATAAATTTAGAAGGTTAAACAAAATTAATGTTCAAAATCAGAGCAAAAGCCATCAATGAAAAAGTAAAGACTAAGTCGGTTCGACCTGAATCCGAATATGATTGATCATTTGGCATTCTCTATGAGCTGGAGTGTGCACCGGCTCGTCAGGCACCAGTCGAATAAAAGAACGACTCTTTAGACGATTGAGAAATCCAGTAACTAAACGGCGACGCTGCAAAGCGACGAGTCGATTACGCAGATGTCGCCGCTGTGCCATGCGGCGATTGGCCAAGAGCCATATAGTCGTCGGATGAAGGTTGACAGATGGTGTGGGAGAAAGGGAAACAGGCACCGATGCTATATTATGATTATGGTGGCGGAGGGAGTGGCGATGCTGATGAGGATGGTCCAAATCAGAAAGGGACGAACAAGAAGATGAAAAGGCGGCAGAAACAGAGGAAACACAGCCGGTACTAGGGAGAGTAACACAGGATTCGTTGCCAATAGTTGAATCTATTGTGGAAGGAGGTACTGATAATGATGGTATAGAAGTTAAAGTAGTCGAAGGAGCAGTCACAGCCAAGCCGGGTTTGCGCCTGATCGCACCGAGGCGGCGAAAGAATGTTTCTCCGCAAGGCTGGCTAATAACGCCTAAAACAGGATTTCCGCAAGTCACATTAGCACCTGAAACAGTGTTAGCTGAAGTATGCGGATCAGAGCTGGCAGAAGGAACAACAGTCGAGGAGATTAGAGGATTTTCGAGGAGGAAGTAAGGTAGTTCTTTCTCAGGCCTGCTAAGTTGGAGAGTCAGACTGACAGCCTCAGTAAGTTGGCTCATTAAAAGCATTGATGCACCCAAGGATAATGTTTGTCGACGATTTCCTGAGCCTTTTCTCACAAGACTAGCTATAGTTATTTGAAAAAGTGTAAAAATAGAAAAGAAAAAAGAAAAGTAAAATCAAACCAATAAGCAGTAAGTAATAGATGTGTGCGAGGCTTTCATTAAAAGTCAAATAGCTGGAATAATGTGAGAAATAAGCATGCTAAAAAGTAAATAATTTACAAAAAAACATGAAAATCAAATAAGTAGGGCTAACCGAATCTTAATTAGAATGACTTCCTTTTCACAACTTAGTCGTGGCGACAAGGAGCTCTTGGAGCGTACCCAGTTCTGTGTCCTGTCACAGTAGTCAGGACTGATAGTTGAATTTTTTCGGAATTATAATTAGGCCTTACTTTTATATTGAATTTCACATAGCCTTGCTTTCCAAAAAGATATTCTTATACATGATGGACTACAGTCTTGACTTTTCCAAGATCTCATTTGCACCCCCAGCGGGTCTCTAACGTGTCGAGACAATATGCTGCACTGCTCTGGTTCTATTATTGCTATGGGTCCTGATGAGACCCAGGCGAGGTAGAAACTGTAGTACTCACTGGATAAGAATAAATTTTAAGAAGCGAGACCATGTAAAATTCAGTAAAGAGGTGAAACCTACTCATAAAATTGTGGGAAAATTCAACTACTGATCCTTCATCTTAAAATATATACGGTAAATACAGAACTTATATTATGCAACTTTACTTCGTCGACAATCATACTAAGTGATGCCACGTCTACCCTATGGTCCAAGGACATTCGTGGTAATGTGGCGAAGTGGTTAACGTGTCAAAAATAAACGCTGAAACTCACGGGTTGAGTCCCGGTGGACTTTCTGATGGTATCCTTTTTCATCATATTAAACAAAATCATGTGAATACAATCTTTATAGTATGAATATTAGTAAGAAGCAAAAAATTCTATACTGTCACAAATAAAGACTGTAAGCAGCAGAGTAAACTAAGGCTAAGTACCCAGAAAAATCATACTATGGGAATTGGTCTATCCTGGAGATACGGAAGCAGTGGGATATCGGGCTCAATATTCCGTATTCCAATTGCATAAAGAGAATGTTTTGAGACGATCAATATATATTGAACAATAACTAAAGTCGCCTTGAATAGGATAAGAATATAATAGATTAATTTTATCAACATGAAATAAAAAATGGAACAGGATTATATCAAGAAGTATTTCTCAAGTCCTAATTGAGTTCAATTTCTACTTAGCTAAGGTCTCAGTATCACCCGAGTGGTGTGCATTCATAGTATAAGGCCGGAAAGATAAGTTTTATTTGTCAATAGTTATATATGTAATGAATGTCTAAAACTATAACTAACAATCGTGCTTACGTAGCAGTGGTGACGTGTTAATGCACACGACGTTGGTGAGTTATAAAATGAGTCAGGCTGAGACCAAGGCGATATATAAATCGTAGCAAATACTAGATGAGAATGTATTTTGACAGTTAAGACTGGGTGAAATGCAATTGCATCGATAAATCCTCTTCCCTTTGTAGTTACATTCAACTGTGAACTAAAGGGATAAATATATTATGCCTTAAAAGTTGTTCGACCTTTTTTTTCAACTCGGTCATATTGATAAGAAGACTTGTCCCGAGTCCATTGTATGGATAATCATTTCCAAAGTCGCAGCTTGGACGTGGTACATTCCCAGAAGATTCGCCGGCATCT